TTCATAGGCTTGGAAAAAAGGTGAGCAGTAGCTCTAACAGTGGGGGGAGATATAAGGATTTTGAGTAGGTGCAACAGACCCTGCTACATTCCTTGCTCTAGGGCCAATGCCAGCCTTGTTGAAGCAGTGCTCATGCTCTCTTTAATGTTCTATGGCATGTGCTGTTTCTCCATCCATTCAAATTTTCTTCTAATCCCCACTTGATCAAATGAGATCTGCAACAGCTAAGTGGTATTAGAAAAAATTAGGCCATCAATTGGTTATTGGCCTGGAATGGAGTTTGTATTCTCTCATCTCTGCCCTCGGGGCGTCTCAGCACGTTCTGTGGCTGATCCTTTGTGAACATGAGAGGGCTGGGTTGTAGGTGCTAAAAGATGACTGTGGATACTGACTGAGATCTCTTGGAGAAAATAGTTTCCTGCCTCACAGTAAACTAGAAATAGTGCCTAGATGTTTGTGAATACCCTGCTATTTATTATCTGCTGCTCTCTGCTTGTTCTGCTATCCCACTATCTACTAGCTGCTATTTTTATGGTTCTTTTAGTCAAGGTGCTTTTGAAAAAAAATATCTCCCAGGCTTCTTTTATGTATAGAGCTGCCACATCTGTGTATGGAAGCCTTTAAAGAAGGAAGTAGCACCGGTTCTTTAATGTTGGTGAATTTTACTGAGAGAGAAGTAAAGTTCCCTTATTTGCATTGTAAGAAAGATCAGAGTGCCCTCTGGAAACCCTGTTTGTTATGTGCACTGCACTGGATGGTGCCTTCTCTCCAGCATGCTCTGAGAATCAGAAATCTATTCCCAATTTTTACTGAATAGCTGAGGGGTCTTTTCGGTTTTTGTTTGTTGTTGTTCCAGCTTGCTGGAATTACTGTCTTTTGCATATGCTTCCTAATTTCCTTCATTAATCTCYTTTTTTCAAAGAAAATAGATTCTAATTGTGTATTTTTGTTACATGCTCGATCAGGCAACCATGTTTTTGAGCAGGCCGAGTTATAGAATCAGAATTACGGAAGAGCTGAGTTGGGAAGGCGACTCTGGAGATTGTCTAGCCCGACCCCACACTCTGCCCCAAGCAGGGGCTATCGGAGCAGGTTACTCAGGACTCTGTCTAGGTGACTTTTGAGTAACTCAATAGATGGAGACTCCACAACCTCTCTGGGCAACCTTTTCCRGTTTTCAATAACCCTTCAATAGTTTATATTCTATATAATCAATTAATTTGTGTACATAAACAATTATATATAATCAATTAAGTAACCCAAACTTTTTAGTAATAAATGCCAACCCTTTTGGGTATGTGCAGTAAAGAAAGCAAGTCAGTGAGGCACCTGAAATGACTAGCTGGTTGTGGAAACCTTGTGGAAGAGAGCATGGGAAGGACTGAATTTTCTTATTTCAAGTCACTCTATTGCATTTGCAATAGAGTGATATCCTGTATTGCAGGTGTTTGCCTTCTTGCCTCCTCACTGCCTTAACATGTTATATTAGATTTGGTGCACTAAAGAGCTAACTTAAATCAGCTTCTAAAGTWGCTGCAAATAGTGTGAGTCACTGACAGACTTTTTTTCCCAATGACATTGTGCTTTGAGTCAACGCCTCGTGCTGGGAATTGGGAAGAGCCATGTCTGTACTGTGCACACTCAGCTTCCAAAGGAAGTGGTTGGGGTGTCACACCTAACTGCATCTGAAATGAAAAAGTGCCCCGAACAAATAAAGAGTAGAGGCTCTACGCTTGGCCAAGAAGTGGCTGGAGCTCGATGAATCATGGAATCACAGAATGGTTGAGGTTGGAAGGGACCTCTAGAGATCATCTAGTCCAATCCCCCTGCTCCAGCAGGGACACGYACAGCACGGGGCACAGGGCGGCATCCAGGTGGGTTTGGAGACCTCCAGAGAAGGAGACTTCACAGCCTCCCTGGGCAGCCTGTKCCRSKGCTCTGKCACCCTCACAAGAAAGAAGTTCCTCCTCGCATGGAGATGGAACTTCCTGTGTTTCAACTTGTACCCATTGCCCTTTGTCCTGTCACTGGCCACCACTGAGAAGAGTTTGGCCCCTTCCT